TCCCCCGCAGAGAAGTGGTTTCTGACTTTTGTTTTCCACTACATCTAAACTAAGTAACTTTCTGATTCTTCTAGTCCTGTGGGTCTTCTTTTTGGGTCCTAGTTATTAGAGATCTGTGTATGATTTCATTTACGCTTTATCTCCACAAGAAACATGTTATTCCAGCAACTGATCCTGATTTTTCTCTTTTCTAATTCATTTACTTTTGCTTTGGTTTTTGTACGCCAACCCACAGTTCCTTGAGGATGTTTGAGTTCTTTTTTTCTTTCCAAAGACTCAAGTCGAGTGTTTATTTTTATTTTCTTAAAGAGATGCTCAAGCAGCTAGAAGCTATTTGCTTCCGAGAATAGTTGTATGTCCTGTGAAAACTTTTTGACAACTCTCCCCGAAGTTCTTGTTGTTCTTTTTTTGGGGGGGGGTCACACCCAGTGATGCACAGGAGTTACTTCTGGCTCTGCACTCAGGAATCACCCCTGGCGGTGCTCAGGGGACCATATGGGATGCTGGGAATCGAACCCCGGGTTGGCTGCGTGCAAGGCAAATGCCCTACCCGCTGTGCTATTACTCCAGCCCCAGTTCTTGTCATTCTTAACTCTATACCCCCGAGTTTGTTTTGTAAAAGTGTTAATTTCACCTCCCTCCCAACTCTCTTATTTTTAAATAAGCACAGTTAGATGCCATTTATATTTGTGTCTCCTAGGCTTCTGTGTATTGTCTTCAGATAATATAGGTAACATGATTTCTGGTGTGTGTGTGTGTGTGTGTGTGTGTGTGTGTGTGTGTGAAGTTTCATTTTTGCTGGGTAGATAATTTACTTTGGCAACTGTTTCTTGGATATTTGGCGGGGGGGGGATGGATTACTTGTTTGTTTAAATCAGATCCAGGTACTATTAGTTAAGGTGGATTGATTCTGTTATTTGCTTACTTTTATATTCTAATTTAGATTTTGCTTACTTGCTCTGTTCCAGCCTGTATCTGTCAATCCACTGCTATAATGTGTCTTTGCCAATGGCTTTTTGAACTCGAACAATTTTATTTCAAGTCCTTTTATACAGGGTCACCATGAGTATATTCACCTTCAATTTTTTATTTAATTGATATCAGTAACCTTCGTGATCCTAATGTGTGGCGTTATTCTTAAATCCTGCCATGCTAGCTGTAAACATTGAAGTTCTGACTTTCTTGTGTATGTATCTGTCTGCTTCATCACCAGAAGACTTTTGGTTTGAAGATTTTTGTCACAAAATATGCCCTTTCAAAGCTGCACCGTGACATTTGGCTTCATAACTGAAAGCAGAAGTTAATAATAGAAAGCTTGAATTTTTCATATGCATTGTTGCAGTTTCTACAGTGTTCCTTTTTTATTCTTTGGCTGTATAATTGGAGTTTCTGTTTGTTTCTCTCTGCCTTTTATCAGTCATGTTCACAGGCATCTCAATATTGCCTGTTTTTCATAGTCAGCGGTTGTTTCGAGAGGTTTCAAAATCTAACACTTCCTTTAAGAATCAAAGTTGGGGGAAAAACAATAAGTTTTAGTTCTCTGCGGGGTATTTTCCTCCCTTGGTGGGATTTGTCTTCTCTGATCCCACAGCCGCCAGCCCCAGACCATCTTCCTTCCTTTTAACAATTCTTCCTTCTCTCTTCCTTTCTCTGAGACGCCTGTCCTGTCTTCATTTATCTAAGATGTCTGTCCTTTGTCACGGAAGGGCACTGGCAAGCTCTTTGTCCTCTGAATGAATATTTCATGGCTATTTTTATCCTCAGTCCCGGCTGTCTTTACAGCGCTCGGTTCCTCTCACTGTTCGGAAGACAAATACCTTAGCCCGTAGCCTATCTCCGGAGCCCTGAAGGCGTATTTTGTAAGGGTCTGAAGATAGGACAATCGTGAGGGCACACAGGCTGCATTCCCCGCACCACAAGCGTCCCTGACCCCTCCTGGCACAGCCGTGGGGGGGCCCCCAGCATCACTGTGGCCCTGAAGCCCCTGACTGGGAACTGCCCCTGGGGTCCTGGGTCTCCCGAGCACCACTCGGAAGGGGGAAAGGCAACGGAAAGGAAGAGAAAAGGGGTAGAGGGAAGGGGAGGGGAGGGGAGGGGGCCGGCGGGGGGGGAGGGAGGGCTTTCTTGTCCTTTCTGAGGAAATTCTGAGGATGCCTGTGTCAGATTTTGACACTAACATTTTCCGTTAGTTGTGAATATATATATATTTATATTTATATATATAACACTTTATATTTATATATAACATTTATAATATATAATAATATATATAATATTTATATATAACACTTTATATATATAAAGTGTTACTATGAATACACATATATGTATATATACACATATGTGTATATATATATATATATACGTGTGTGTATTTAATTGGTCCTGGAGGTCTTCGGCACCACCATGCTGAGACCACTCTCCGCACACATGAAGGTACTGGCAGAGGGACAAAGCCACGCGGGTTCCGGGGCCGAGATCTCCAAGCCTACTCGAATTGGAGTCGAGCATCCTCCACCCAGATCCTCCAAATTCCAGTAGGCGGGGGTCACACCCACTACCTGGCCCCCTGGCGCCGTGTAATCCCATCAGCGGCCAAGACTCAGAGACTACAAAATGCAGCTCCCATCTTTTTATGATATCACATTATCTCATTCCTACTCTGGACAAACTTGCAGGCTATCGAATATAGCCTGCCCACAGGGCAGAGTCTGGCAAACTCCCCGTGGCGCACCAAATATGCCAAATACCAGTAACAATGATGGGTCTCATTCTCCTAAAAAGCCTTGAATATAATCTCAGGGCTAGGATGAAAGAGACGTTACTGGGGCCTGCTCGAAGCAATCGACGATTAACAGGATGATGAATGAATGAATGAATGAATGAATTTAATTGGGTTTTTTTTGCGGCTTCAGAGAAGGCTGTTGGAGAGTTTTCACTGAGATGTCTGTGGTGCACACATGACCTTCAGGTGCACTCGGAGGGGTTCCCAGAATATATCTGCACCCCCAAGCACCCCCCCCCCCGCATCCCTGACCCACGTGGCCCCCGGCACATCCTCCCTGGGCCCTCACTCTTGTTCCATGAGGACATGTTCCCGGCAGGGCAGGGCATCTGGGAGCATCCGCGCTCGTGCTCTGGACACATGGTCCTCCTGCCTTGCGCCCACAGGCCAGGAGACGGGCAGAGGGTCCCCTCCCACTCACAGTGGAATCTCTGTGAACACAAACTCTCGCTCGTGCTCCTTTGTGACTCCTGGGTTTCCCCTGTTCCTGCTGCTCACGGTGACTTTTTGAAGTAAATTTACTCTTCCTTTTTGGTGTAGCAACACTCTTCAGTTAGAAAAACACATGGACTGGGGTTTTGGTCACCCTCTCGTCAGCTTTTAAAATGATTTTGTAGGTCCCAAATCAAACTGGCTATTTCTTTTTTTTCTTTTGGTTCAGAGGCGTCTGTGAATATTTTGGCAGCCGGTGTCTAAAGTGTTACTATAAATACATTTTCCTAGATCTCCTTTGATGTAAACCCCCATGAAAAGTTTACACCTAGAAAGCACAGAAATCAGGGACCAGAGTGATAGCACAGTGGGGAAGGCACTTGCCTTGCATGCAGCAAACATGGGTTCTATCCCCCACGGCATCCCATAAGGTCCCCCTGAGCACTGCCAGGAGTGATCCCTGAGAGCAGAGCCGGGAGGAACGCCCGAACATCGCCTGGTGTGGACCAAAAACAAACAAAAGGCATAGAAATCTGTGGAAAACCAGCAACTCCGTAGTGCCGTGCTTTATGGACGTGTCTCTCTTCGTGTCTGTCACTCTGCCTCTGTGTCTTGTTCTCCCTCTGCAAGGGATTGACCTCATGCTTGCAACACATAACTCTTCCCTGAGCCATATCCTGGCATCTCTCCCTTGGTACCACTGATGGTTACTGGGGGCTTGGTTATCGTCCTCCATATGGCTCCACGTCCGGTGATGGACTGACGCATCCCTTAGCCCGAGCCGAGCGGCGGGCCGTGGTGGTGTTCACTGTGGATGCTTCTGTTTCCCAAACTCCAGGACACTTCCTGGAGTTCTGAGGTGGTCACACCATGGGGGGGTGGTTTCTTGTGAGCTGATGGGGAACGCTTTCCTAAAAGCATTGCCTTGTAAATAAAAAATCCAGGCATGAGAGGTGGGAGCAGGGGGGGGCACACACAGGGGAGGAGGGCGTTTGCCTTGCACATGGCTGACCCAGGTTCTATCCCCACCACCTCATACGGTTCCCCGAGCACCACCAGGGACTGATTCCTGAGCACAGAGCCAGGAGTAACCTCTGAGCACTGCAGAGTGTGGCTTAAAAACAAATCAAAACAAAAATCCAAGGCTGGAGCAACAGTACAGCGGGGAGGGCGTTTGCCTTGCACAGGGTTGACCCAGGTTTGATCCCCGACATCCCACGTGGTCCCCTGAGCACCACCAGGAGTAATTCCTGAGTGCAGAGACCCCACTGCCCCCCCCCAAAAAAAACAACAAAGAATCCAAGTACAGAGGTCTGGGCATGCTTTTCAAATGGAAAGAGGTTTTGGGGCTGGAGCGATAGCACAGTGGGTAGGGCATTTGCCTTGCACGCAGCCAACCTGGGTTCGATTCCCAGCATCCCATATGGTCCCCGAGCATCTCCAAGAGTTATTCCTGAGTGCATGAGCCAGGAGTAACCCCTTTTCATCGCCGGGTGTGACCCAAAAAAAGCAAAAAAAAAAAACCCAAAAAACAAAAAGAGGTTTTGAATGCACATACACACGTGTTCTGATTTGTTTGGGGATCCCCTCTTGGCGGTGCTCAGGGGACCATACAGGATGCGGCAATCAAACCCGGGTCATCTCTGTGTAAGGCCAGTGCCCTCCCTGCTGTGCTATCTCTCCGGCCCTGGAGGCGGCAGGGGGTGGGGGGGGGGGGCTCGGCCAAGTCCATAGAATCCCCCTGACCCTCCGGGCTGTCGTCACTGCCATTGCAGGGGAGAATATGAGCCAGCCAGGCCAGGACGCCGCGTCGTGCTCCTTCCGAGACGTGGACTCGCTGATGGCCACGCTGCAGATGGCCGTCCACATCCCCACCTTCCTGCTGGGCCTCCTCCTCAACCTGCTGGCCATCCGGCGCTTCAGCGCCTTCCTGAGGAAACGCTGGTCGGGCCACGCGGCCACGGCCATCTACATGATCAACCTGGCCGTCTTCGACCTGGTGCTGGTGCTGTCGCTGCCCTTCAAGCTGGCGCTGTCGCACGAGTCGCGGGCCTTCCCCGCGCTGTGCACGCTGGTGGAGTGCCTCTACTTCATCAGCATGTACGGTAGCGTCTTCACCATCTGCTTCATCAGCCTCGACCGCTTCATGGCCATCCAGTTCCCGCTGCTGGCCGGGCCCCTGCGCTCCCCCGGGAAGACCCTGGGCGTGTGCTGCGGCATCTGGGTGCTGGTCTGGGTGGGCAGCATCCCCGTCTACAGCTTCCACGGCGAGGCCAACGGGCTCCGCTGCTTCCACAACCTGTCCAACAGCACGTGGACGGCGCCCGTGGTCGTCCCCCTGGAGGTGTTCGGCTTCCTCCTGCCCCTGACCATCATGGCCTTCTGCTCCGCCAAGATCATCCTGGTCCTGCTGGGCCGCCGGGCTCACACGCAGGACTGGGCCCAGCAGCGCGCCTGCATCCTGACGGTGGCCGCCAGCCTGGCCGTCTTCGTGGTCTCCTTCCTGCCCGTGCACCTGAGCGTCTTCCTGCAGTTCCTGGTGCGCAACGGCGTGATTGTGCAGTGCACGGCCCGGCAGAACATCAGCCTCTTCCTACAGCTGTCCCTCTGCTTCTCCAACGTCAACTGCTGCCTGGACGTTTTCTGCTACTACTTCGTCATCAAGGAGTTTCGCGTGGGCCTCATGGCCCACCGGCCTTCCCGGGGACAGCTGGTCCTCCAGGACACCATGACCACCAGGGGCTGAGGGAGGGGGCCCAGCTCAGCTCAGCTCAGTGGAAGGACTCTCCCCTCCCCCACCCCGGCCTGGCCCTGAAGTCCCAGCAGCAGAGGGTCCCGGGGGGCTGAGGTGACAGCACCTCGACCTCTGTTCCAGCACTTTCTTTGCACACTGTGGCCCAGAGACATCCCCACGGTTTGGCACAAGACAGTTTGGACCCATCCCTGTCCCTGTGCCTGGGAACCTCCAAGTGGCCTCAGCGGCAGGTGAAGTCTTGTCCACAGATGCTGCTTGAAGGCCCAAAAAACACAAGACAGAAACTAGAGCAAGGCGTCTGAGTGATGCTCTTCCTCCACGCACCTGTTTGTACTGGGAGATTCTGGAAAGCTCTCTGTCTCTGAAAACTGGGCGTCAGAGTGGCTCAAGAGGGTCCTGGTGGGGAGTGTCCTGGGTGGACAGACATGAGTCAAACCCCTTCTTAGCTTGGGGCTTCCAGAGAGAGCAGGTTTCATATCCTTCTAGAACACTCCGCTAGTCTCGCAGAGACCATAGTCAAGGAGGCCATCCTTGACTGTTGTCTATGGAGGCATCAGGGCAGAGCTATAAGGACTGACTCCAGTTCCCTCTGGGTTCTAGAAAGGGCTGTGGCCTGCCAGGCCTCCCCGAGTCCATGAGGAGACTGGCATATAGGGTGGTTGGGAAGGCATTGGTCAGACCTGAGACCCTTCAAGGTCCTTGAAGGAAGGTGACAAGCCAAGGAAGGGTTATGGGGTGGGACCTCCTCCCCCACTGCTCTCCTGTAGCTGGGAGATGGGGGTGGGGGTGTCTCGAGATAACAGCTGTCTCTCTTGAAGGAATCCATCCAGAGGAAATAAGGAAAGTGTCCTTGTCTGCCCAGACCCTGCCAGTCATGTCCAAGGAGCTGTCCCTCACCGGTGGCGGCCAGGCAGGACATGGTTCAGCTGGGCACGGGCCTCTGTCTCAGTGGCACAGAGCCCTGGGTAGCTCCTCCTGTAAATGGGAGACTGCTGAGTCATGGCTCAGGTTTGCTGAGTCACGGCTGAGACAGGTTACTCTGGTGATGATTGAGAACAGCAGGGACAGATGACTGAAAGCTAGAGACTCCGAGGCCTCCGGGATGAAAGAGACTTCCAGGATAAATAGTGGGGTGGTTTTACAAGATGCAGGAACAGGAAGAGGATTGGAGTCAAGACTTTCACGTAAAGGGAGGCAGGCGGGGCTGGAGCGATAGCACAGCGGGTAGGGCATTTGCCTTGCATGCAGCCAACGTGGCCGACACAGGTTCGATTCCCAGCATCCCATATGGTCCCCTGAGCACCGCCAGGAGTGATTCCTGAGTGCATGAGCCAGGAGTAACCCTGAGCATCGCCGGGTATGACCCAAAAAGCAAAAAAAAATAAATAAATAAATAAAAATAAATAAAGGGAGGCAGGTGCAGGAAGGACAGTTGTGCCGGGCAGCCTGGGTGTGTGGGAGGCCCAGGGATGGAAGTCGGGGCTCTCTGCCTGCTAGGTTTCCCCCCACCACCCAGGCTTGAAGCTGCAGGGGTGGATCCCGAGTGGGGGGGCCCGGACGAAGAAAGGGCAGGAAGGAGAGAGGCCCAGCTACTGGCCCCAGGCAGGCCCCCTACCTAAGGGGCCTCTGTGTGGCGTCTTGGTGACTGGAGGGGACAGAGAAGGACCAGGAAAGAGTGAGAGTCAGTGTGCGCAGGGGAGGGGGCCTGGACACCCTCGGACTTCTGTCCTGCTGCCCCACAACTGGACCTCCTCCTGGGGCTCAGCAGAGCCATGGGTGGTGCACTTAGGGACACCCCCCCTACACACACACACACACACACACACACACACACACACACACACACACACAGAGTTTCTCCCTGCTCTCCATTGTGGGTGCCGAGGGGTGCCAAGCACCCGGGCTAGGAGGCGGGGGCCGTAGCCCTGCCCCTCAGCACCCCACACAAGGAGAAGGCGTCACTGCCTGAGCCAGAGGGTGGAGAGGGCCGCAGGGGAACACAGGCCCCAGTCGAGGAAGTGAGGTGGGGGTAAGCTGTGGCCATGGTTAGTGGCTGTGGCCACGGTTAGTCCAGCAGCAGGTGAGAGTGGGGTCAGTCAGCGTCAGGGTGTTATGACACCCCAGGACCTACACCCCACAAAGGGCAGCTGCTGAGTGGGGGGGGGGTATCCCTGAAAGGCTGGAATATCTGTTGCTGTCACCTGCCGAGACCTAGAGGCCTGGTATGGCTTCTTACATGACCTCTTGTACCCCATGTCCAGAGGCCTGGAGGCCTGGCATGATACTCATGTGGCCTCCCTGAACCGCATGTCCAGAAAAACCTGAAACACACTCGTACGAAACTTCCGTGGCGCCTAGGAGGGATTTGATTCATCCGATTTGCCCAATAAAAGATCCAGAGACTGTGCAACTTCGTCTTGGCTTCCTGCTGACCCCACAAATGAGCGTGGGCAGGATGCGCGGGCCTCAGGCCTGCCTGTCCCCACTCCAAGTCCTGAGAGGACGAATCTGCCTGGTCAGACCTGAACTTCCTGCCACCCCAGTTCCGAGCCCCAGGAAAGCTGAATCCCCCAGGCCCCGGCCAGCACCCCCCATTTTCCTGAGTCTTCCATCTGAGGAGCTCTTCCTCTTCCTCCTCCTCATCCTCAGCTGCAGGGGTCCGAGCGGTGACACACGCGGAAGCTGGAGGAAGGTCTTTAGGAGGAAACTAGGTGACCCTGTGGGTGGGGACCTTGCGGTGAGACTCGGGTTCTTAGATGGTGCCTCCCTCTCTACACACACACACACACACACACACACACACACACACACGCATCTGGATGACATACTCTCTGTACCCGAGGCGAGAGGCCGGAGGGGGGGGACTCACAGCTGGCCCCAGCCTGCCGAAACTCCGGAAATCACAGTCTGTGTGTCCAGCTTCAGGGACAGAGCCCCCACCCCCCCCCCAACCCTGGGGGCAGCTCACATCTGGGCCAGGGCAGAGACCACATGCCTCTGGTATCTGCCTTGGGCAGTCGTAGAAAGCACTAGAAAGCCCTAGAAAGCCCCAAGTCCCGGCAGAGATGAGCAGCTGGAGGGTCCCAGTGCCAAGGCAGCATGGGGCTGCCAGTCCAGTAGGCAGCGGAGGCCAGACGTGTCGGGGTGCAGCAGGGAGGAGCCGTCCCGGGCTGCCCCCCCCCGACACCCACATGGGTGCCTGTTGGCCTCCAGGGAAAGGCAGCAGGGGCCGCTGTGGGGTCTCCAGACCTCGTGCATTTAGGGGGAGGGAGCACTCCCTAAAACTATCACACACAGGACTGGAGTGATAACATAGCGGGTAGGGCGTTTGCCTTGCACGCGGCGGACCCAGGTTCGATCCCCAGCATCCCATATGGTCCCCTAAGCACCGCCAAGAGTAATTCCTGAGTGCAGAGCCAGGAGTAACCAACCCCTGTGCATCGCCAGATGTGACCCAGAAAAGCGCACACACACATACACACAGAAAAACCTATCACACACACCCTCTCATCTTTGGTGCTCAGAGCTGGCTTCTCAGGGAGACCAGGGCTCAGGGCCACGCAGGAGCCCGAGGGAGTGTGTGTGTGTGTGTGTGTGTGTGTGTGTGTGTGTGTGTGTGTGTGTGTGTGTCTCAGGGGCACCCCAGGAGCCTGCAGACTGTGTCTCTGTCCCGTGCTGTGGCGTGAGGGATCCCCTGCCCAGCGATGTCCCTCCCGGGGGGGCTTTGAAGCCCAGAGAGGCAGGCCCGGCGCTCAGCGGCTGGTGATTCAAAGCCTTGTTCTGCGGGGCGGAGGGGCCTGGGTTCACCGGGAGGGCTCCGGCGCGGTTAACCAAGTCACCTCCGGCCAAGGGTGCAGGCACGCAAAGGTTCAGCCTCCAGCCTTTGAAAGGGCCCGTATGGGGTCGCTGCTGGCTCAGGGCAGGGGCTAAGCGTGTGTGGCTGCTTCCTGTCGCCTCTGGCGTGGGGGCACCATCCGGGGAGGGCTGTGTGGGGCTTCGGAAAGGCAGGAAGAGGTGAAGAAGCCTGAACTCTCCTGTTCCCTTAGTACCCCCCCTGCCCCCGAGAGTCAGGGCCAAGCCATAGCTCTGGGGCAGACCGTGGGGGTCTCCTGGAGAGCCCAGAGACGGGGGCGGTGTGAAGGAAGGTGTGGGGGGGCCTTGAGAGATAGTGTGGGGGGCAGAGCTGTTGCCTTGCAAGTGGCTGGTCCCCATTCAATCCCGGCACTGCAGACGGCTTCCTCTCCCCAGCACCGCCAGAAGGGCTTCCTGGGCACACCCCCCTCAGATTCCAGGACGTGGGACTCAGACTGCAGGAGACCACCCTTTCCCCCGCATGTGCCATCTCGTGCCGGTGACGCCGGTTGGGGACCCCTCCAGCAGCAGGTCAAACCCCTCTCCCACCCCCTGTGCTTTCCATCCAGTTTCCTACACTCGGGCACTGGAGGGGGTGTCCCCAGGCAGGACAGGGGCCAACACAGGAGCGGGAGACGCACTGGGCCTGTCCTGGGGCAGGAGATTAAGGGATGCTGCGGACCAGAATCCATCAAAGGGGGCCGGAGCGATAGCACAGCAGGGAGGACAGCGTTTGCCTTGCACATGGTGCATTTAGGGGGAGGGAGCACTCCCTAAAACTATCACACACAGGACTGGAGTGATAACATAGCGGGTAGGGCGTTTGCCTTGCACACGGTCGACCCGGGTTTGATTCCCAGCATCCCATATGGTCCCCCTGAGAACCGCCAGGAGTGATTCCTCCTGAGTGCAGAGCCAGGAGGAACCCCTGTGCCTTGCTGGGTGTGACCCCCTTCCCCCACCCAAAACAGAAAGAAACTACAATGTTCCAGCCACTTGGGCCTATCCAGCAGGAGAGAATTGTGGGGAGTCGTGAGAGAGCTGCCGGCCGTCCTCTGGGCTTCAGCCTCAGTGGGTGGGGTGCGGGTGCCTGCCAGGTGTCCCCAAAAAGCCCATGGGGGTATATTCCTTGGGTTTCT